GAGGAAATTTTCTGGGGGGACAGAACTTATAGTAATGGTCCATGCATTGATAGCGGGGTTACACATGTGAATGGATTTGTCAAAACTCAGGGAATGTACATTTAAGATTTGTGAATTTCATTGTATTTCAGTTTTACTTTAAAAAACCCATAAACAAATATTGAACTAAAGTAAGTGATAGATAGGCTTAGGTATTTGGGGTAAAGTGTATATTGAGATATGTATTTTAAAAATAAAGCAGATTAAAGGATGAATACAGATATTAGATGGATAGATATGTGATAAAATACAGTAAAATGTCAGTAGTAGAATATAGGTGGTGGGTATGTGAGTGTTCAGTGCTTTATATTTGAAATTTTTCATAATAAAACATCAGGGGAGAAGGGGTAGACTTCATTCTCTGTCCTTCTGATTCTCCAAGCTCCAGTTTTCTCACCTGCCTTTTTGCCCACTACCTGTTAGGTATTTCTCCTTGATTGTGGAATACATCTTCAGCCCCTACAAACCATTCCTGCTTTTCCTGTTTTTATTAAGGTTAACATCATTTTTCTAGTTGGGAGCACTTCTCAGTATGAAAGTCATATTTCTTTCCCTCCTTTCTCCCATACCCTTAAATCCAATTAAGCTCCAAATTCTTCTGATTTTCACTTTATCTCTTTTCTTTCCCACTAACACTAGCTTAATTCTGCACCAGTTACACCTGCATCCTGGTAGCTATTTCCATGGAGAACTAGAGTAGGATAAATAAGCAAATAATTCACATGTAATTAGATGTTCCATGTCTTTTGACATGTTTGTGATAGAATGGTTCTAACAGTATACTGTATTGGAATTTACCTGGTTATTATAAGCCTTAAAACTTTTAATTTCAGCCTCGCAAACACTCTTGTCACAGAAAACAGAATTCTACACTATGATTGGCCTCTGAAGACAACTGGTCCTGCTATACGAACTCTGCGGAAGTTGTCCCTTTTCATCTTGGCAGATACCTGACACCAGTTCTATTATACTATTCTGCGGGTCTATTTTGCGACTAATTTCACCAAGAAATGAAGTTACTTACCAAGAGATGCCCCAGGGGTGCTTCCTTAACTGTCCTCACCACCACCTGATGGCTAGACTAGCTATCTGCAGGGAATAGCAACCCTAAACTTTTCCTATGTTAAAATGACTGTAGATAAGATGTACTATTCAGGGTCTCAACCGTCTGTGTATGTATATGTGGGACTGGAACTGAGTTTTAAACAGAGCTTGGCTCTGCCAAAAGTGTTTCCCCCCCTCACTTGGTTGGCAAGGCACAAGGGCCCTTTAAAAAACCTTCGGGTCTTCGAACCCAGCCTTAGTCAATTCTTTATCAAAGGCTCATGGAAGTCGCTTTAGAAACACACAGTTCATCGTTTCTTCCAGATGTTTTCAACTTTATCCTCAGTGGAAGCCAGATCACCAGAGCCATTTAGCTGGTCTCTAGCATAAGTTTTTAGTAAATTGCAGCTTGGCCATATTAGTTTAATTTGTATTTGGAGCATATATGGGAAAATGGTGATTTCATGACTGTATGCATTTATTTACAGTTCCAGACTTTTGAGTACTTAAGTCATGCTACGGTAGGTGCTTTAAGGGTGTCATTTAAATTTAATCCTCCCAACCATCCCTTGGAATAAATATTATCTCCATTTCACAGGTCAAGATACTGAAGCTCAGATAGGTTACATAACTCGCAAATGGCAGTAATAGGACTCAAACCCAGGTTTATCTATTTTTAAATCTGGTGGACTTTCCCACTAGAAAAGCAACAGGAAAATTTCACACTGTATCACACTATATAGCCTTAAGCATCTGTATAAATACCTTGACGAACATCGTAATTTTTACTTATTCCTGGTTTTAACCTTTTCCCCTATTTTTTTAATCAATTCAGTGACTTCCTCAACTATTTACTTTTATAGCATTTTAATAATACATTTTTAATAAAGTGCCTAGAATCCTTTTGGATTTATATTCCACTGTGGTATAAAGAAAAAGGAATAAAAAGTCCCTCTGAAATCCTGTAATTTTATTTAATGTTCGCTGGGGTTTTCTGGTGTTATTTGCTTTTATGAAACTTTCAGGTTTTTGCTCTGGTGTACACATGGCTTAAGTTATGAAATAACCGAGGCAAGCCTTCTACTTTAAACTGTCCTCTGGCGCTTCCAAGTCCAATGAGAAAATTTTACCTGACGCTTGCACAGGCAACACATTTAGCCGTGGTATAATCAGATATTTGAGTAAAGGGAGGGAGAGTAAAAGTAGTTAATAAATGAAAGTTCGTACCAGAAACCGTTAGTATTGTGACTATTTCATTACTTTGGTCCCTTACTTTGACTGGAACAGGGTGTGAGTTTACAGAATTCTTGAGGTCTACTTACTGGTGCCCTGAAGCCAGATCTCTTCACTGTTCTTCAGATTCTGTTCTAAAATCCTAAAGATATCTCTTGTCCGCTACAGAAGGTGCCTGGCAGGCTACAGTCTGTGGGGTCGCAAAGAGTTGGACATGATTTAGTGACTAAACAACATAGAAGGTGCAGGTGTTTTCCTCAGGAATCACCGTTTCCTGTCTTAAGTTCCTCTTTTGTACCATGCCATCTTTTCTGTCCACAGTCCTGTGTTCCTGACCACCTGGTGTCATACGGCCAATCAAATTCTGCCTCTCTAGTTTCAAGTCATTTTCTTGATAATGATAGGTGGGGGCCAACACGGATTTGGCTCTGTGTGGTGTCAGGTGCCAAGTTTCGCGAATGCATCACCTTTTTTCACTCCAGCAACCCTCTGCTGTTGAGTCTCTTTTGCTCTGTTGCTGCCTTATCAAGGCACTCATCTCACACTTGCAGTCACCTTCACCTTTCTGACGTGTCTGCTCTGACAGCCCTGTTGCTCATAGTTTCAGGGTTTAATTAGCTGAGACACAGAAACCACTTTCCATTTTAAATTCTCAGGCAGTGATTTGGCAAAATGAGATCTACCAGATTTAGAGTAATGATGGAAAAGAAAGAACAGATTAGGTATCATTTCACGCTAGTTTGGTGTTATTATGTGAAAACGATGTAAATGTTTCACTTCCTTATTTCTAGTTCAAGTTGTTAGTGCAACTCAAGTAGAGACATAGGAATAAGAGAAACTACATATTCTTTGAAAATCATTTATTTCAAATTATACACACATAAAATAAGACTGGGGTAAAGATTTATTTGCTTGCCATTTGCATCATACTCTCTCCCCCAACTAAGGGTTTTCTCTTGTTACAAAATAAAGCAATTCTGTCATGAATTTCTTCCTTTCAGGGATTCACAGTTAAAATCTTTCAGAATACTAGTGCACTGAGCACAGAAAACTTTTATGTAGTTTATCAGATCGAGCATTTGCTAGTGGAAGGATCCCAGGGAGAGAGAAAACTATTAGTGAAATGTACCAGGCAGTTTAAACTCCCATTACACTGTTTTCCAGTAGTTCTGAGAAGGTTGTGCCTCTTATGTTTTTACTTCATGTCTTTTATATTTAGAAAATATTTTTTTCTTATCAAAGTGAATCTATTAAATAATAATTCAGCTCCCTACTTAAACTTATCAACAATAAATGTCAAATTAGAATTCATGATAAACATGAGATGACAACTGTGTTCTGGCAAAGACAAATCCAACGATGAAAACTTATAGGGGATCAAACCCAGGTCTCCTGCATTGCAGGCAGATTCTTTACCATCTGAGCTACCAAGGAAGCCCTTTATAGTGGGGAAATGAATGCTTTTCATTAGATCTTTTTTCCAAACTCTGAATACATATTCTCATTCTTATTTCTTTGCACTAAAGGTGCCTAAAGGGAGAGCACTTGTAAGGAAAGTCAGGAGGGTAAGAAAACCGTAAGGAACAGAGAATCTGGGGTAAGGCGGGAGGCCCATGGGCCTCTTCTCTGCCTGGGCCCATGCAGCCCCACCAAGTTATCTACAAGTTTTTCATACTGGATCTTACTTGTGTATTGAAACTTTCTCACTAAGCCATGCTCCAGTAGCTACCAATTTTCAAGTTCAGTTCAGTTTGTTAGGTCACAGCAAATGTCTGACACCACTGAGCTAGTTTGTGACTGGTAACTAGGAGAATGAACTCAATGTAACTAGGAGTTAGTCTGAGCTCCTTGGCATAGGGCTCTGGAATAGTAGAAGAAACATTTTAACTTTCAGTAGGAAAGGAGAAAAGTTCTCATTGCAGGTCTATTCTTAGAGAAGAGGACTGTGCCCACATGGGCTCTCCCCGGAGGGAGGCACACCCCTGTCTGGGCCAGCAAGTTCCACTTCCTCCTGTGTTGGAGCTTCTCTTCCACCTGCTCTGCTCAGACCTAAAGGTGGATGTTCCCATTTTATGGTTATTGTGCATTTTTAACCTCTTTTGCTGCAGCCTCTACCACGTGTTAAAATGCCTGTCAGCTGGGCTGTCCAGGCTATCTCTGAAAGTACCATTTCCTATTCATGTTTGTGTTTTGGTTACAAAGACATACAAGTCTTGACAGGTTTACCCCTAAGCTTACTTGCACTGTAAGCAATGTTCTTTTAAATGAATTTAGAAGGCATCATTTTTTAGCAACATTTATCTCGTATTATAATAGAAATCCTGTACTTGGTTTCTACTTGAGCGTGTCTGCCTCTCTGTGACCCCGTGGACTGTAGCCTGCAGGCTCCTCTGTCCATAGAGTTCTCCAGGCAAGAATACTGGAGTGGGTTGCCATGGTCTCCTCCAGGGAATCTTTCTGACCTAGGGATTGAACCCAGGTCTCTTGTACTTTGGTTTATACTGAGTGGATGCTAAATAAATGCTAACAGATTATTTATAATTAATTAACTATATCACAAGAATTTTAAAAAACGACTCCAAGGAATGACTATGTTGACAATGAACCAAATTTCAAGAACACCTGACTTCTCTAGAATATAAAAACCTTTAAAAGTCATTATAATGTGCACAATATAGTTATCACTATTTTAGAGAAACAGAAGCTAACTTTTCATTTTCAAAGACTGATGAGCAATCATCCATTAGTTCTTGAAGTTGAATAACAGGAAACTGGACTTGTTTTTCAAACCATTTGGCAACTCTAAGAAGCTGCTGGTCACAAAATGCACGTCCAATAAACTGTAGTCCTATTGGCAACCCTTGGCTTGAGAGGGCCATAGGGACACTCACTGCTGGCAATCCTGAGGAAAGGAAAGAGACACATTAAATGTTGACCAATTCTCCACCCTGAGACAGAGAGACCTCTTCCACTTTCCAGTGCCAATAGGTACAAGACAGGATAAGGGTTAAAAAAAAAAACACAAAAATTATGACATGTATGTTTTTGTGTCTTCCTTTGTTCATTTAATATATCTAGGAAATCACTGTATATCTGTTCAGAGACTGTTTTCATTCCTTTTTTATAGTTTCATAGTATTCTACCATGTGGTTTTACCATACTTTATTCAACCATTCTTCTATGGTTGGGGGGTTTTGATTGTTTTTAGTATTTAGTGATTTCATGCCATGTCCCAGTGAATTACCTTGTATATTTTTTCCAGTATTCTTGAAAATTTCTCAGATGAAGAGGAATTGCTTCATCAAAAGATAAATGTATATATTAATTAGAAACTGCCAAATTCCCCTCCAAAAAAGTTGTACCTTTTGAACTTCCATCAGCAAAATGAGTTTCCCTACAGCCTCACCTATGGAGTGTGTTGCTAAGCTTCTTAGTTTTTTGTCAATTTTTTAGGTGAGAAATAGTAGCTCAGGATAGTTTTAATTTCAGTTTTGGGGTATCTTGTTATGCCATAAAACAAGGAAGTTTTAAAAAATTAATAGGGGCTAGTTTAAGGGTTACATACAACTTGGAGAAGTTCCTGTTAGTTAAATTTGAGCATCAAAAATAATGAGAATTACTTATAATACATTGAATTTTTTAAAAAAGGAAAGCTGTTCTATAGAGAAGACTGCTAGCTAAGATACGGAGAAGGAATGATAGAAAAGTCAGCACTTTGTAACTCTCTAATACTGAATTCAGGCAAGGGTCATCAATAGATGCTAAAAGTGGGTTCAGGTTTATTGGGAAATACGGTCTCAACATATCATATCACTAATTGCTTACAACTGACAAAAGGAAAATGTGCCTTCATAAGGAAAACATCCGGTAGTTACTTCCTTAACCAAAGGATTCACTTAGTTTCCACAGTGGTACGAACTGATATTAACTGTTTCTTGACATTTCATACTATGTATACAGTATTTGTGTCAAAAATGTTTAAGTCAACCCAATCATGAGGAAGCAATCTGACAAATTCAGATTATGAATGGGATATCCTACAGGTCAAGTGGACAGGACTCCTCAAAAAAGTCAATGTCATTTAAAAAATTTAAAAGGTGGAGGATTTCTTATCAGTAACTATGAAGGCTAGAAGAAATTAGCAGGACATTCTGTAAATGCTAAAGAAAAGAACTGTCAAACCAGAATCATATATCCAGCAAAAATAAACTATAAAAATGAGAGGAAGATTGAGACATTCTCAGAAGAAAGCTAAAAGAACTGGTTGCTAGCAGATGTACCCTGAAAGAATGGCAAACTCTTCTCCAAACAGAAAGGATATGATAAAACAAAGAATCTTGATGGATCAGGGAGAAATAAACACAGTAAACAAAAGTATACAGATAAATACAACTGACTTTTCCCTCTGCTCCTGAGTTTTCTACATTATGTTTGATGATTGAAACAAAAATCGTAACAATCTGATGTGGTTCTTAATAAAAGAACATAGAGGCCTGGGGGATTGTTCTAGACTTTAGTAAGAGATATCATAAACAAACATATGCAGGAAAAACACCCTATAAAAGGCATTTTTGGTACAATTGAGAAAACTTAAATATGAACTGTATTTGAGTATTATTGTATTTGTGTTAGCCTTCTTAGGTATGATGATGGATGTCTTTATTCCAGATGATTCATGCTAAAAGTATTTAGGGGTAAAGTAACATGATGTTGAAACTTTCAAATTAACCAAGTAAAAGCTGTGTATATGTGTCTGTCTGTCTCGGGGTAAAGGGAGAGAGGAAGGAAAAAGCAAATAAAGCAAAATGTGAACAAGGATGAACCTAGGCAAAGGACATAATGGGTATTCATTTTATGACTTTTTAAAATCTTTCTGTAGGTCTGAAAATTAATGTGTGTGTGTGTGGTGAGTGCAAGTATGTGTATGCCCATAAATGCACACATGCACACACACCCACATGAACACACACACACACTCCTAAGTCTCCCAGAAGGACAAGCTATTGTGTTTAGGGAACAATCTAGCTAGAACCTAAGTCGAGGACCAGGACTGTCTACCTAAAAATCTGGAGAAAACCAGAATGTTCTTAAGGGATCCTCACCTGCCATATTGACAGCCTGTGTAAAGATGTCATCTTGGGCACTGCGCGTCCTGTTGTCTTCCTTGATGAATTCTGTGTAGGGCACTGCCTCACTCAAGGTCGTGGGAGTTAGCAGCACATCCACTCCAGAGTTAAAAACATTCACAAAATCATTAGCAATGAGCCGTCTCACTTTCTGTGCTTTGACAAAATAATTCTCATAATTTCTGTGGAAAAAAACAATAGTTGACATTTTAAGGGCTTTTTGTTATTTCTTTCAATGAATTCTCATGTATAAGACTTGTTAAAGAATCACTGGATTCTTGGCCTGTAGGAGCGGGTACCACTAAGATTCCCAACACATAAAAATCAATTTTGTTCAACCATGCTGTTATTCTAAAAGTAGATACAATTCTGCACATATAATCACAAATTATTAACACTTCCAGGGACATCATTAAACCAGAACATTTATTTTCAGGTGAGGAAAATCAAGGGTATAGCAACTAAATGACTTTCCAAAGGCTGCAAAGATTAGCGGTGGCAGAGGAAGGACCAGAATTTAGATCTCTGGAGGCGCATTCCAATCCCCTTTCTATTATAATGTCCTATTTCATCCATAGTTATAATTTTATAAGAGTTCTGAAGTTTTGGAGAATTCTAACACTAGAAAACAGGCTCTGGAACCAGTAACTGAGGAAAGTAGGCAGTGTTTGCAATTTTGTATTTTATAGACAGGAGTGGCCCAGAAATGGAAATGTGAAACTCCTAGAAAGATGCTTCAGGCTGCCTACTGAATGGGAGAAGATATTTGCAAATGATATACCTGATAAGGTGTTAATATACAAAATATGCAAACAACTCACAAAACTCAATATCAAAAACACAACCAACCAATGAAAAAAATGGGCAGAAGACCAAAACAGACGTTTTTCCAAAGACATATGGATGGCCAACAAGTACATGAAAAGATGCTCACCATCACTAATCATCAGAGAAATGCAATTCAAAACCACCATGCGATATCACCTCACACATTTCAGAATGGCTATTATCAAAGACAACAAATAACAAGTATTGTCAAGGATGTAGAGAAAGGGGAACCTTCATGCATGGCTGGTGGGAATATAAAGTGGTGCAGCCTCTATAGAAAACAGTATGGAGATTCCTCAAAGAACTAAAAACAGAATGACCACACCATGCAGGAGTTCCACTCCTGGGTATTTATCCAAAGAAAACACACACATTCGAAAAGATATATGCATCCCTATGTTCACTGCAGCATTGTTTACAATAGTCAAGATATGTAAACCACTTAAATGTCCACCAAGAGATGAATGGATAAAGATGTAGTATATATACACAATGGAATATTAGCCATAAAGAAGAATTAGATTTTGCTCTGTGGGACAACATGAATAGATATAGAGGCTATTATGCCAAGTGAAGTTAAGTGAGAGAAAAATATTGTATTATTTCACTTATCTGTGGAATCCAAAAACAAAACAAATGAACAAACAAAACTAAACAGAAAACATAGATAAACAGGTGGTTGCCAGAGGGGGAGGGTGGTGAGAGGGAAGGAGAGAAACAAGTAAAGGAGACTGAGTTACAAACTTTCAGGTATGAAAGGTACACTGTGGGGGATATAGTCAGTAATTATGTAATATCTTTATATGGTGACAGATGACATCTAGACTTATCATGGTGATTGTTCTGAAATGCACAGAAATGTCAAATCACGATGGTGTGCACCAGGAACTGACCTAGGGTGCTGCAGGTCAATTATACTTCAAAAACAAACTCATGAGGAGGAGCCAAGATGGCGGAGGAATAGGACGGGGAGACCACTTTCTCTCCTACAAATTCATCGAAAGAACATTTGAACGCTGAGCAAATTTCACAAAACAACTTCTGATCGCTAGCAGAGGACATCAGGCGCCCAGAAAAGCAGCCCATTGTCTTCGAAGGGAGGTAGGACAAAATATAAAGGATAGAAAGGGAGTCAAAAGAGCTACGGACGGAGACCCGTCCCGGGAAGGGAGTCTTAATAGAGGAAGTTTCCAATCACCAGGAAACCCTCGCACTGGCGGGTCTGGGGGAAGTTTTCGAATCTCGGAGGGCAACCTAACTGGGAGGAAAAATTAAATAAGGCCCACAGATTACGTGCCTAAAAGCAACTCCCAGCAGAAAAGTACCCCAGACGCCCGCACCCGCCACCAACAAGCGGGGGCGGGACGGAGAGGAGCGGGCGGCATTGCTTAGGGTAAGGACCGGCCCGAAGACCCTGAGAGCAATCGGAGGGAGCTTTTTTAAACTGTGGGATAGCAAGGGTCAAAATTAACAGGCCCGAACACACTGCCAGCGGTTCGCAAAACAAAGGGCCTGAGAAACTCCAGAGAAGAGCCGGCCCATCACCGCTGGAGGTTGGAGGCAGAGGGGAGGGGAAAAGGGCAAACTCAGCCCCTGAGAAGCCACCCCTCCCACACTGCAAACAGGCCCCCGGTTCCTATCCAAAGACTTCCTGAGACCCGACTGGCGGCGCGCGCTGGGGCCGCGGAGGGAAAAAGCACGCCGTACCCGGGGAGAGTGCGCCTAAGCCTCTGGCTGCCTGAGCCGCTCAGGCCGGGGAGGGAAAAGGCGCGCCGCATCCGGGGAGAGTGCGCCCAAGCCTCTGGCTGCCTGAGCCGCTCGCCGCGGAGGGAAAAGGCGCGCCACATCCGGGGAGACTGCGCCCAAGCCTCTGGCTGCCTGGGCCGCTCGACGCGGAGGGAAAAGGCGCCCTGCGCCCAGGGAGAGTGCGCCCAAGCGTCTGGCTGCCTGAGCTGCCCGCCGCGGAGGGAAAAGGCGCACCGCATCCGGGGAGAGTGCGCCCAAGCCCCTGGCTGCCTGGGCCGCTCGACGCGGAGGGAAAAGGCGCGCTGCGCCCGGGGAGAGTGCGCCCAAGCCCCTGGCTGCCTGAACCGCTCAGGCCGGGGAAAGCACAAAACGCAGGCGCAACCGAATCCGCGCTTTTGTGGAGTACCCGAAAACTGGAACAGCACTCAACGCAGGGCCCGCTCCATATAGAGCAGCCGGGAGCCTGAGCAGTGTAGACGGCGAAAGCACTGACACCCGTGAGTGGGGCAAACCCAGTGTGGCCGGAACACGGTGAGTGCTATCCACACAGAGCGGTATCTGTCTGCAGCGCCCCGCCCTCCCCGTAGCGGGACTGAACTGAACTAGAGAACCTAAATAAGAGATCACCTCCACCCGCCTGTGTCAGGGCGGAAATTAGACAGCAAAGAGACGGCAAACAGAAGCCAAATAAACAAAGGGAACCGCTTCAGAAAGGACCAGTGCAACAGATTAAAATCCCTGAAGGTAACACCAACTACACCGGAAGGGGCGTATAGATATCGAGAAGTGTAAGCTGGAAAGAGGAGCTATCTGAAATTGAACTGAACCTACGCTGAACACAACTCCAGAGAAATTCCTAGATATATATGTATATATATTTTTTAATTAAAAAAAAAAATTTTTTTTTTCTATCTTTTTTTTTTTCTCTTTTATTTTCTTTTAAAATTCCCTATTACTCCCCCATTACTCCTCAACTTTCATTTTCATATATTTTTACGATTTTTTTAATTAGGGGAAAAAAAATTTTTTTTTTTGTTTTTCTCTCCTATTTCCTTTTAAAGTCCTCTAATACTCCTCTATTATTCCTTAATTTTCATTTCCATTTCACTATAACCTTTCCAAAAAAAAGAGAGAGAGAGAAAAAACCCCTATTTTTAAATCAAACTTCATATACATTTCTAAATTTTTTTGTGTGTTTTTGTTTTTAAATATTGTATTTCAAAGAGTCTAACCTCTACACTAGATTTTTAATCTTTGTTTTTCAGTAGTATGTGATATAAATTTTGGTCATTTAAGAATCCAATATTCAGTTCCCATTTCTATTCAGGAGTGTGGTGATTACTCTCCCACTTTTGACTCTCTGTTTTCTACCTCGGAACACCTCTATTTCCTCCTTTCCCCTTCTCTTCCCAATCCAACTCTGTGAATCTTTGTGGGTGTCTGGGCTACGCAGAACACTTTGGGAACAGATAACTGCGTAGATCTGTCTCTCTCCTCTTGAGTCCCCTTTTTCTCCTCTTGATCACCTCTATCTCCTTCCTCCCTCTCCTATTCTTCATGTAACTCTGTGAACCTCTCTGGTTGTCTCTCTCGGTGGAGAATCTTTTCACCATTAACCTAGAAGTTTTATTATCAGTGCTGTATAGTTGGAGAAGTCTTGAGACTATTGGAAGAATAAAACTGAAATCCAGAGGCAGGAGACTTAAGCCCAAATCTTGAGAAAACCAGAAAACTCCTGACTACACGGAACATTAAGGAATAAGAGACCATCCAAAAGCTTCCATACCTACACCAAAACCAACCACCACCCAAGAGCTGATAAGCTCCAGTACAAGACATACCACGCAAATTCTTTAGCAATGCAGAAACATAGACCTGAGTGTCAACAGACAGGCTCTCCAAAGTCACACCTAACACATAGATCCATCGCAAAACTCATTACTGGACACTCCATTGCACTCCAGAGAGAAGAAATCCATTTCCATGCACCAGAAGGCTGACACAAGCTTCTCTAACCAGGAAACCTTGACAAACCAATCGTCCAACCCCACCCACTGGGTGAAACCTCCACAATAAAAAGGAACCTCAGACCACAAGAATACAGAAAGCCCACTCCAGACACAGCAATCTAAACATGATGAAAAGGCAGAGAAATACCCAACAGCTAAAGGAACATGAAAAAAGCCCACCAAGTCAAACAAAAGAGGAGGAAATAGGGAATCTACCTGAAAAAGAATTTAGAATAATGATAATAAAAATGATCCAAAATCTTGAAAACAAAATGGAGTTACAAATAAATAGCCTGGAGACAAAGATTGAGAAGATGCAAGAAATGTTTAACAAGGACCTAGAAGAAATAAAAAAAAGTCAATTAAAAATTAATAATGAAATAAATGAGATCAAAAACACTCTGTAGGGAACCATGAGTAGAATAACAGAGACAGAAGATAGGATAAGTGAGTTAGAAGATAAAATGGTGGAAATAAATGAAGCAGAGAGGAAAAAAGAAAAAAGAATCAAAAGAAATGAGGACAACCTCAGGGACCTCTGGGACAATGTGAAATGCCACAACATTCGAATCATAGGAGTCCCAGAAGAAGAAGACAAA